GCAGAATATAGAGGGTGTGCATATATTTACTAACTCCCGAGCTTGGGAATAAGACTTGGCGTGCATATATGGAGGGTCGACTGCATACTGATAAGCTGGTCCAATATAGAAAAACTGGATAAATTTTGTTGTGATCTGCATGAGACAAGGGTAGGTAACAAAACATCCAGAAGATACAAATAAAACACTCTTGCTAAGGTACCTTGCGTACGCTATCTTCGACTGGTCGCTATTAAACCATACGTAAATGGAGAAGAAGCTTAGTGTCAGAGAAATTTATTGGTACCAACATGAACCTCAAAGTATTTGCATCGCACGCACGTTACACAAAATTTGGCGAACAAAGACACTAATTTAGCATGATCATTTAGGGTGAATGGCAGGAAACTACTTTAAAATGTGAATTAGTATATTTTAACATAAATACTCAATAGAACTAGCAGGACTTTGACCTTTTAGACATAACCTGGAATTATTATCATAATTGTAAAAAGGTCTCATTGGTGTGAATACGAAAAATAGTTAAAACACACAATTTTCGATGCATGCTTTGGATTCATTTCCTTGAATACCTAGCCACATTAATATATACAATGTATAACAAAAAATAGCTTGCTGTGTATAAATACTACGAATACAGAAAAAGCTCAACCATTAAATCGAAGACTTTGTTCTCAGTCAGAACACAATCTTTTCGTCCTGCACTCTCCTCCTAATAAAGTTGATATAATGAGCAAACCGAATAATGTGAACAGCAATTATGTCGGATTTATAACGACGTCTATCACCGGGGAGCTTCAATTTGATATGCATGTTAACTTGCAAGTCCAACCTCATATTCAATATCCTCCTGCTATCTCCTTTCCTCTCCTCAATAATGTCGGTATGATTCCTATGAACACTATCAACTACGACAATACAACATTGTAACAAGGTGATCCCTCAGTTTCTTATTACCATCCGGGCGTTGACACCATGAATGAACAGTTGAATACACCAAGTCGCGAACAAGTCGAAACTCAGACAAACGGCTCTTGTCCACTCTGTGGAACATATATTTTTACGCCAATGCGCACGTAAGCATCACTTTCATTTAACAACTCTAATGTATTCAACGAGCCCACAAGCCTGAATATGTGGTTATGAGAGAAGTGCGAATTCAACTGGAGTTGGGCAGTGTATCAGCTAATGCTAGCTTTGGCGAAGTGTTAGCTTTAACTCAAATGTGAGAAAGGATAATTAATGTATGCTTGTCCTTGTAGATGATAATTGCATGACAAGTTTCTTTGGTGGGGGTTTATATTAAATAAGTATTTTATTAAATTAGCTTGTCTTGGTTAGTAAATTGGCTTTCAACAATATATTGCATTCCTACGTTCGTCTTTCACAAAAAAGGTTTGCTTGTGGATGGAACTATTACTTAAGCTACCCAGCGATAAATTCATTTCTCGTCGTTCCGATTTTTTTACAGACTTGTGTCCATTAAAACTCGGCCCAAAAAACAAAGAAAAACAAACCATAGGAACCACTATCCGATATCTGAATAGTTTCTATATAAATACACTATACAGAGCTAGTTTAATTAGAAGGAAAAAAAGTTTCCAACATTCCTCCACAATAACCCAAATCCACTGTGTATATACTGTAGGTTCATAATACAAGTGGCTCTCGATATAAGAACCCTTCGATATAAGAAACTTTCGATATAAGAAAGTATTTTTGCTGGACCCGATTTAAAATCTTATAACAAATGACTCTCGTTATAAGAGATTTTCGATATAAGAAAGGAATTTGTTGGGCCCCGATCACTTTCTTATATCGAGAGCCACTTGTAGATATTCGAAACGCCTGACCATACTGCATTACTCATCCTCTTTCGCATCATTGGATCGAAAATAATTAGGCATATATTTATTGTAATTAAATATACATGCAAAAATGAATAAACACAGTTTTCTATATAAACGTAAGCTTGATATCAGGTTTCATCACTTCTTTTTCAGCTCAAAATAACATTAATACATTGAGCAAATCTAATAATATGAACAACGATTGTGCGGGGCTTTATAACAATGTCTATCAACAGGAAGACTTGCAAATGGCCGCTAATTTACAAGACCAACATCATGCTCGCCCCGCTGCCCCTTTTTTTCTCGATACGCCATTTAGGAATGCTAATAGCATTAATACATTGAACGAATCTAATAATATGAACAACGATTGTGCGGGGCTTTATAACAATGTCTATCAACAGGAAGACTTACAAATGGCTGCTAATTTACAAGACCAACGTCATGCTCGCCCTGCTGCTCCTTTTCTTCTCGATACGCCATTTGGGAATGCTCAAAGTTTCCGTCCTGCTCATAATGCCGATATGAATACTATACACTACGGAAATACTAGAAATCGTACAACATCATATCCCCCAACCTCTTATTGCGACGGTATTGACGTCTCTATGAATGGGCTATTGAATATACCGAATTTCAATCAAGTCGCAACTCACGAAAACAGCTCCTGTCCAGTTTGTGGTTTCTCCAACGGACATTTCGATAAGATCAATCGATCTATTACGCATACTGTTACGCAAAACTCTAACGCGATGAACGAACATGTGGTTATAAGAGAAGTGCGAATTCAATTTGTGTTAGGCACGGTACCAGCTACTGACAAAGTGTTAGCGTTAATTCGAAAGTGAGAAGATAATTTATCATTATAGATGACAATGCATGTCTTTAAATGACGAGTTTCGTTTTTGCGGGAGTTTCATATTAATAAATTAGCTTTCCCAATAGTGTAAAGTCAGTTCATTGCTTTTCACTTTTGTCTTGGTTTTTCATATACATTGTTACAATATTTTATTTCCACATTGAGATGAATATTCCGACCAATAGGAGTCACTTAAACGTTAATAGTAACTATTACTATTCTTATGTTTTTATAACCCCCCGACTTGTACACCGAAATTGCCCAACGAAGATCAATAAATATCTCGGTGGCCACACAATACCTTCTCTGAAAACGAAAAAAAAAGAACTGGTAACCCAACAGTGACCCATATCAATTCGGCACAGTAATAATCATGTGTATGATTGACAGTAACTGTGCGTGGGAATATCTTAGACCAGCAAGAACCGGAAATAGAAGTTTACGATCATGGCGTGGCGAATTTTGAATAGTTGGGTCATAAATGACGTCTGTAATAAGCTATGCTGATACATATCAAACAGGTGCAGTAGGCAAAAGCTTGCAATATCCAGTTTCCGGAGTGGACTTACAAAGTAATGATACTTCTTTTCAGTTTCGCAAAAAGCTTGTGTCCTAACACTATATAATTTATCCTTTATCTATTTCCCTATCTACTCCATACCTTTCTCCCATTTAACCCACCCAGCCGCCTTTCCAGAAGATATTTTCGTTTCATCATTCGTTGGTTTTGACACATTGAAAGTAGATGTGTCTGAGCATAGCTTGTATTATGAATAATACAAGGGAATTGGTAGAGTGCTTGTCAGGCTAAGCGATCTGATTGATCGTGTAAAGTCATTACTTTCCATTTTTTGTCTTGGTTATTAAATTGGCTTTCAACAATCTATTGCATTCCTACGTTCACAATAGGAGCTGCTTTGTCAAGTCACTGGAAACTATTGCTTAAGTTACCCCAGCGATAAATTCAGGCCCCTTTTCATTTCTCCCTGTTCCGATTTTTGTCATTCCAAATTGGGTTAAAACTCCCAAATAACAAAAAAACAACAGGAACCCTGTTCGGGAAGATTATAATTTCGGCACCACTCCCACACAACAGAAAAATATTTCTATAACTCAACCTAGAAACCTAAACGCATATATCCACAAACATAGCCGGAATAAAAACTAGAAAAGCCAAACCTGTTATTCATCTTAGTGATGTCTTCTCTGAAAGCGAAAAAAAAAATGAACCAATAAATCCACTTCCAATAGTGCTGTAGTGGCCCGTGTCAATTCGTCACTATAGAAAAATGAACATAGCAGTGAAGGTAGTTTACGGACGTGGGCGAATTTTGAATGGTTGACTCATAAATGACTTCTGCTACTAAGCTACGCTGATATATATCAAACAGATGCAAACCAAGAGGGTTCGTGGAGCTTGCAATCTCCAGTTTCCGGAGTGGACTTACCAAGTAATGCTTTTCTCAATTCCGCAAAAAAGCTTGCGCAGACTGCCTGTCCTAACTTTCCTTTATCGGTTATCTATTTCCCATCTATTCCATACCTTCTATAAGTCAAATGCTGGTTCTCGGAACCTCCACCACGACTAGTCAGTTTCAATCACCAAAAAAACTTCATTCCGTCTTTCCGTCAACTCAGTGACTCACAACACACTCCCCAGCTGCAAAGCATTTCCAGAAGATAGTTTCATTTCCATTAATTATCATTCGTTGGTTTTGACACATTGAAAGTAGGTGTGTAGCTTGTTTATGAATAACACAAGGGAATTGATAGAGTGCTTGTCAGGCTGAGCGATCTGATTGATGCTAGTGGACAGATTGAGTATGAAGGGCAAGTAGCAAACCCGGAGGGCAAAGGCATTCATCGAAAGGCACATTAGGCAACATGCGCTTTTAGTCGTTACTTTCCTGCATCAGTGTCCGTCCCCCACTGTGCTATTATTTCAATAGCTTTATCCCCGCTCCCATCCTTTTTATCAGTTTGTTGCGGATTTCGCCATGGAGAAGAATCGGTGTATTGAGCAACCAAGTTACATAAGTTGAAGTCGTGCGGTGAGCAGAAACATGAAGCGGGCATACGAGAATTTGAAAGAGACTTGAAAAAGCAACAGGTTAAGTTCAGGCATGCCTTATAAAGAAACAAAAGAGAAGGAAGACTTACAACAGATGAATAAGATTGTTGTAATAATATCTGCATAGACATTATTCCATATGCTTATTCGTTATTTACTCAATTTTTACTTTATGTATTGATCAACAGTAATCCACATCTCACTCGGTTCTTCAAACACTCGCATCTCTTCCTTTTCCCATACTCGCCAATTTCATGTTTGGCGCTTGGACGAAGAACTCTCCACCTTTTGCGCACAGCTTTGCCGAGCACACCGCACAGTTGGACGAAGCTCAAAAACAATATTATCACGACAATCACTCCCAATTAGTCCATTGGCGAGGGAAGAGAGACATGCGTCAAGGACTGAATCACCAGCTTCACCTTCGATCGCGAATAAGCGGGCTAGCGCGTTGTATTGTAAGTTCTTTATAGCGGATGTGAGGGAATTGCTGCTAGTTCTCCAAATGCACGGTTATCAACACTGACACAAATTTGTGTTGTACTCGCCGCGTTATTTATGGACTTTCTTCAGTACACAGAACCGAAATCGGTGAGCGTGAAAAAACTTGCCGAACTTTTGAATGATAGTGAAGCCGCGGTGAAACGACTCGAAGAGCAAGAGAAAGTATTAAAAGAAGAGATCAGGAGAATTGATCCGATGGAAAAGAGATAAGACATGAATGGCATCTTACGTAAGTCATCACAATATCAACAACCTTTATTACAAACATACACCCCCCTGCCAAAAGTATCCGTCACTCCTTGAAATTTACTAGTAAAACATATGAAAAATCATTTTTTTCTAA